CTCAAAAAAAAAAAATACTAGCTGGTTTTATTATTTTATTTAAAAATTTACTATAGGTAATAGTCTAAGTGTATGTGATAATACAGAGTTGCTGGGAGGATCACTTGAGTCCTGGAAGTCAAGACTGCAGTGAGCCAAAAAAAAACCAAAAAAATAAAGCTAAAAAAAAAAAAAAAAAAAAAAAAAAAAATCTGGCCTTTTGGAATGTACTACACTCTAGTGGAGGTAAGAGGCAATGGGTAAATATGTAAGTAGATTATTGGATGTATTAGAAGGGGCATGGAGGATGTGGGGTCAAGGTTGTAGTTTTAAATAGGGTGGTCAGGGAAAGCTTTCTGAGAATGTGACATTTGAACCAAAGACTTGTAGGAAAAGAGAGTATGGCCGGGCATGGTGGCTCATGTCTGTGATCGCAGCAAGCACTTTGGGAGGCTGAGGCAGTCAGATCACTTGAGCTCAGGAGTTTGAGATCAGCCTGGACAACATAGCGAAATCCTGTCTCTACAAAAATTAGCCAGGTGTGGTGGTGTGCACCTGTGGTCCCAGCTACCTGGGAGGCTGAGAGGTGGGAGGATTGCTTGAGCCTGGGAGTTTGAGGCTGCAGTAAGCCATAATTTTGCCACTATACTCCAGCCTGGGCAACAAAGGGAGACCCTGTCTCAAAAACAAAACAAAAAACTGGAGAAAGAGTGGCATGACGCTCTAGGGGAAGGGCATGCTAGGCAAAGAGAACAGCAAAAGCAAAGGCCTTGAGGTAGGAGCAAGCTTGGAATATTTAAGGAAGAGCAAGGAGGTCAGTGAGAGAGGAGAGGCCAAGAGACGAAGTTGGAGGGGTGATGGAGCACATCGTGGAGGGCCTTGTGGGCCATAGAGAAGACTGGCTTTTACTCCAAGTGAGGTGGAGCCACAGGAGGATGTGGAGCAGAGGAGGGATGCTGTCCAGTGTGACATGAAGCCACCTCCTGAGCTGTGGCAGCTCCAGAACTTCTACCCAGGATGGTTAGGTGAGAGGCAGCCTTGGAAGGAGAGCCAGAATCTTTTTCAGGCCACACTCACGTATCCTTTATATTGGGAGAAAGCTTCAAATATCCCTGTCAAAGATTGAGGCCGGGCGTGTTGGCTCACGCCTGTAATCCCAGCACTTTGGGAGGCTGAGGTGGGCAGATCACTTAAGGTCAGGAGTTCAAGACCAGCCTGGCCAACATGTTGAAATCTCATCTCTACCAAAATTATAAAAAATTAGCTGGGGCCGGGCGCGGTGGCTCAAGCCTGTAATCCCAGCACTTCGGGAGGCTGAGGCGGGTGGATCACGAGGTCAAGAGATCGAGACCATCCTGGTCAACATGGTGAAACCCCNGCTGAGGCGGGTGGATCACGAGGTCAAGAGATCGAGACCATCCTGGTCAACATGGTGAAACCCCGTCTCTACCAAAAATACAAAAATTAGCTGGGTGTTGTGGTAGGTGCCTGTAATCCCAGCTACTCAGGAGGCTGAAGGAGAATCGCTTGAACCTGGGAGGCAGAGATTGCAGTGAGCCGAGATTGCACCACTGCACTCTAGCCTGGGTGACAAAGCGAGACTCCATCTCAAAAATAAATAAATAAATATTAATA